GCGTACTTTGTCTCCTATTGTTTGCTTACATCCTTTTAGTTTTGCTGTTACTCTCCTCCTTTTTCTTGTTATTCCACATTGATTGATAACCATGGTTGTGTGATATTTAAGCGCCAGTACAAAGTTCGGATGTACCGTTGATGTAGGTGACGACGGTGATGATGATAATGTTTACGTACACTTACTTTGCTCGCGGAAACCTGAGTCTTGGTCTTCATCTACTCCTGGGTGGGGGAGTGATATCGTGCGAACTACCCTGCTGATTGCTCATTTCTGACTACCATTTATTATCTGTGAGTATCGGTCGTCGTCAAATGTTCACAAAATACATCTTATTTCCCCTGATGCAGTTTACATCTTTATTTTATGGATCTTGTCTTCTAACCCTCGAGCGTTGTGACGCCAGTCCGCGTACACATGTAGTGTTATGCATACCTTTCGTTTTGAAGGTGTAAGCACCTTGATTCTGAATATTTGCTTAATACACTAAGGTTTTACGCTAAGTCCCTTTCTTCCCGCTCAACATTTTTGTTGCATAGATCATCATTGTTGTAAAGCAGCAAATCATCAGTTCAACTGGCTGATGTCTTGTTGCTGAAGAAGCTGGCCTTATTGAAGCCTGGATCATTGTTCCAAAGAGTCTGTAACGCGGAGATATCGCCTGTCTGTAAGTCTGGTAGATGGGGAGCACCTGTGAGATGGAGAAGGCCAGCTCTATGGTTAATACACGAGCGCTGTTCCAGCTTATTCGACACACATATCCAAGAGCTTTTCCTGCGAGACATTTGTGGACTCGAGGATGAACCGGAGCCCAGCATCATCTATCACTAAGCGTTCCTTGGTAATTCGACGTCATGTGAACCCGAAGACCGCGTTCAGAGTGTTATTGCGCAACAACAATCCGATAATTTTGTCAGTTAGTGTGGCGTTGCTAATTAGGGCTTATCAACCTGCGTTGTGTGCACAGCAACTATTAAGATAATCATTTAGGTTGCCTTGGTTTTGATTTTGATATTTTGTTTGGGGTGCCAATTTTTCCATGTATACAACTATATTTATTCCGCTTGTATTGTGTTTGCGACTGATGAGAACCAACAAAATGTTGACATATCGCAACTTATGTCTTCTCACTACTTTGACGAAAAGGGTGAAGGGGACCCACTGTTTTACCTTTCCAACAGATGTAGACAACTGATTCATTTTTGCAAAGCAGTGGACGAACTTTGGTTGTTTTCGAGAAGTTTAAATCAGTGAATTCTGTGTATTAACTTGAATAGAACAACATGAAGACGCGTTGCAAGATATAACCAGTCTCCGCCACAACGCACTGTATTTACCGGTTTGTTTTAACTGTGCAGGCAGTTGCATCGGCAGTACAGACCGTTGATTGTGTAAGCGAATCGGGGAGCACATTCCGAAGCATATCGCTGCCATGACAAGTCAACCACACACGGGACCTGTGTCGACGAACAAGATACTCGCCTACTAGATTTCGGGTCATTAGGTCGACGTCGACAGCGTTTACTATCATCTTTCGTAACACAAACGCCATAGTCCTCAAGTTTGCCGACGCTGTGGACATAAAAAGGGATCGTCCAATATTGTGCATCCAGATGCAATTGTTTTGCTTCGTTCTAACTCCCTTGGAGTTCGGAATACACCCTCAACTTGTAGCCACCATTTAATTCTCTTGAATGGGACCTACCGGTTTCACATTAGTTATTTTTGTCACCTTATCATTTTGTATGTTCCTCGTTCGCAATTGAACCGAGTGCACGAAATGGTACCATCTTGTAACACGCGTCTTCTTATCGTACCATTCTAGTTTTCGAGAAGGTTCGTCGCAGCCAAACGGATTTATTTAGTTACCACGCGACAAACGGTTGTTTCGTCCTGTTAATATTCTTCATTTGTGCGCGCCCACCGGATCTTTCTGGGTCCCAACACTTGTATTTCATTTCACAACATAAGACAGTAAAAATAGTAGGCGCTTTGTCTCATTGGTGCCACCTTATACTGTGACCATGTATTGTTGATAAGGTGTGAGCATCTTGCCCATGAATATTTTTGCTTAGGGCATTTTGAATTTTACACCAAGCCCTTTTTCCCCTCTGTTTCGCTAGGCCATTCTAATTGCGCGGCAACGTAGCACCAGTTCAAGTTCTCAATTCTGTAGTTGTCCTGCGAGCCAGCAACTTTACCCAGTGCACCTTGAGTAATGGCCACGGACCGACATGACTGTTTACTAGCTGTGATATAGTGCGGCTCACCTTCCACTGCCATGCATCTTATCAACGTGCCGGCCTGTATCCTTAAGGATCATAAGCCTGCCTAGTAATCCGAAGGGCATTGACTCGAGCCCGCATAGTGACCGGGCGACCGTCGTAGTATCCTTAGCCCACGTGCGACTGGTGATGGTTGCCCTCCAGCGAAGCGTTTATACCGCGTACCGGCGTATTGCCGAGCCCCCGTAGGACAGAGTTGACCTTCAGAACCACTTCCCTTACAATCCACACCAGTCGAAATGGCAAACAGGCTGCCCATGGCGTTACTAAGTCTTGTGGAGCAGTAAGAGTTTCCGATCCTGACGAAGTTCACTCACCAGCACTTGGTTAATTTTGTACGCAGACAGACGCAACTCACGGAGCGCAATGCGCAGCGCCACTCGAGTGACTTCTACGTATATACTTCTAACTGTCAGCCTCTGTTTAAGCCTGCTTACTCTGAGATGCTCATCTCCACAAGATTGACTGGCGATACTCATGCATCTGGACTTTTTTCCATGCTCTATTTTGAAACACATACGCAACATGTCTCATGCTTGGCTGGCGATCAGTTTTCTCCGTTACTTGACTCATACCAACATTCTTCAACATCAGAAATGGTGTTAATAAGGATGGATGACAGATAAGCCGGAAGGCAAATATTATTTCCCACGAAACTTTTGGAATGAATCGTATAATTCGCAGGTTTGATTAACACTGTTTGACGAACTCCCACACGCAATACCTTGATTGAATAAAATACTACTGGTACAATCGAGTTTCTGTTGCCGCTTTTGCCAGATGAATACTTCGAAGAACTGGCAGAATTATCTGATTTATTCCACTAGTAGTAAGCATGCCGAAAATGAGTGTCATATCGGCCTTGGGAAAGCAGTTACTGTAAGAAAACCCGGAGATTGAGCTGCGACACGTCGATCTCCGACTTCTTGTACAAGCTCCTCACGCTTTTAGATAAGGTTCATTCTCGATTTTACACCAAACACACCAGAGAAGTCATGAGCCACAACAATTTCATTGCTGACTTCAATTCACTCGCCCAGCAGTAGTCTTCTCCTACTCATCCTGCTGCCAGAGTGACGAGAATTGGTTGCACTGGTGGTCGTTTCACCAATGTCATTTACACTCCTCATTAAGAGCGGATTATCAGTGACGAGCTCAAATGTCACAGGAAACATGTTTCGAGCACAAAGGACTCTGGGTTTCACAAAGAAGCGTTTTTCTGTTGAGATGAACAAGTCAGATACTTCTTGCTTGAGCAATCATGCGGCAGCAAATGTTCGTCCTAGGTGAATCTCAGTTGCCAACAGAATACTAAATTAGCGTGTCCATTCAAAAAAGCGCTCTCATTACTGTTGTCTGGAAAGCTCGCAAACTATGTTCGCGTTTTTTCACCGATTAATGTAGTACTGAATGCGCGTGACATGACACTGATTCTACAGTGGAAGTCGAATGGCGGGAGCTTAAAGATTATTGATTATCTTAGTGTGTTTGGGTCATTTCCTTTTATTATACTCTTCAAGTTTGTTCCGCACTGTCATTGGTTGCCTAATGGTGTAACCTTGTCAGGTACACTGCGCTGTAAGGCAGGGCAGAAGGCATCAGCAGTATGCTGGTATGCAGTACTGGCACTTCGCTGCCGCGAAACCACCAACCGTCTCATGTGGGTTAAGGATCCTGAGAAGGTCGCTCAGTCCCTGCGCAGGCTCCAACCCGCGTCGTCAGATTACAAGCTCGTTGCCTTTAGGCTGCGCGCCGACAGTAGGCTGCGCTGTTCCGGTGTCTGAGCGGATAAGGAGCATGGTTTGTAATCCACAGGTCACTATTTCTAATCTACAAAGGTGCAGGGGACCTTGCAGTATCCATAACTCACGCTTACGATCGCTGGCAGTCATTTGACAGCAGAGTCCACGCGACATACAGATAGCTACTCGTGTTTTTCTCTACGGCCTTGCTGTGCTCTGGGCTTCTACGTAGCATGTTCAGCTCCTTGTCCCTCCCAAGATATCCTAACTATGAGCGAGCTAAGCGGCACTAGATTATTTGGCGGTTTGAAGCTATATCTGTACAATCGTTAAACCACATATAAAGCGTTCGGTAGTTCTTGGGACATGTGGGAGCTTGTTACTATGATCCGAGAGACACTTGATATCATACCTTTGCACTCTTCTCCGGTAAGCACCCGACTCTCTTAAACTATGTTTTTGCCAGTAACATTTGAACGGTTCACTCTGATTTCTGCGTTTCTGCAGTTGCAGCGTAAAAATTAATTCATCAACAGCTATTTTTCACCATCCCTCACGGTTAGACATTTGTTCTGTTATTTCGTTGTTTGAGCACGTGGATAAGCTTACTGTCCTGCGAATTCCACTTTATCGGCCGGTGGCCGAGTGGTCTGCGTACCTAGTTTGCAACCAGAATGCCACCCGTTCGAATCCTCGTAGGGGTGGGCCTCCTCGCGGTATACTCAGCCCCGCGCGACTGGTGGTGGTCGACCGGCAGCGGAGCGCCGTTACGGTGTGCAGCTGGTACATTATTATTATTATTACTGTTTTCGACCAGTCGATGGTGTTTCATTGACTTTTTATCGTAGGGAAGACGCCATCATTGACTTCCAACCTAAATATTATTTTTCTCCCATCTAACTTAGTGACACAATGGTATACAACAACTGTGCATCCGCGGTTTGTTCTCATTGTCCCACCTTTTCTCCTCCAGGTTTGCCTGCTCCGCCAACCAAACTGATGCCTTCCTCCACTGTGTTCGATGCCAAAGGTCGCCCTCAGTTGGACGTGATCCGGCCCCATTTGATTGCTGAAGGTCGACTCACCGAAGAGGCTGTCCTACGCATCGTCAATGAGACAGCTGCTATTCTACGTTCGGAGAAGACCATGCTAGACTTGGAAGCGCCCATCACGAGTATGTGCTTTTGCTTTCCGTTATCCTCCACTATCTTGTTATCAATGCTTGTTTATCCGGGCGGATTCTCATCATCAGCGGCAGTGTATCACGTTTTGTTCCGGTGTTTGACTACCATTCAACATTAAACGGCAACAGTCTTTTCGTTGTGAAATCGGAAAAGGGGAAGGCGAAAGACCTCATTCGTAGCTCTTATGACCTAGGCAAACTTACTGAATCAAAAATCTGCACTTTGCCAACAGCACGTGACCGCAACCAGCTGATTACCGTTCAGTATCGTCGAGACTGTTTTCTTGTGGCCTTCAATATGCGTTCTCATAAGCAGCCTCTTTCCACTGATATCTCACTATCAAACAAGCAGGCCGTCCGACTGGCGAACGACTGCAAATGGCTACTGGCGCCAGCTGCAAGCCATCTAGTGTAATACCTTGAACCCGATTCAGCGTAGGTCACATGAACCCCGACCTGGGGTATGGGATGGATCAGCAGTACTCAGTGCAGTCGCCGGTGACTTGTTTTCCACTTCAAATCATCTGGTTTCATCTTCGAGCCTTGAACCTTTCTGCATCCGTCAAACAAACTAAAGCCCTCCTGGTTAGATGGTGACCGGAGGTAAGTACCACCCACAGGAATCAACGCGAGTTATTCACTGTTGTTTATTACATCAAAGAACTAACCTTATTTTCGCCTCTTCGTATTCGCTTGCTCACATCATCGTTGCAGCCACGCGGATGCCACCCGACACCACCAATGCTCTGCAAACAGCACTGACCATTGACTTTAAAGCACCTGATATCCTCGTACCGAAAAAACCAAGCGTTACTCTTCCATAGAGCAGAACGGCGCTCACTGTGATCTTCTTCACACGGCCTCTCAGATCGATGGGATAGATGTTGCAGATTCATATATGCACACTATTTTCGCTTGTGTGACCTTTTCCGGTCCAATACCTCGTTCTTCTTGGGGATTCCTAAACAGCGAACTCTCTTATGTGTCCTACTGTCACTGCACACACTGTTCCCCTCCTGTCTATTTCATACATATTCCCTACGAAGTTGGATGACATTTCCTTGCGCTTGACTGACTTCCTCTTCTTTCGTCCATCATGTAAATAGGACAATGAAGACTGTGACTCGACGGAATCAATGGCTTCCACATGGTCGGCCGGTGGCTTATTGGTCTGCACGTTTGGTTTGCAACCATAAGGTCACCGGTTCGAATCCGCGTAGGGGTGGGCGTCCTCGCCGTATACTCAGCCCGCACGCAACTGGTGGTGGTCGCGCGGTAGCGAAGCTCCGTTACGGCGTACAGCTGACACATATTTACATTACATAGTCGATGAACGCTGTGGATGGGGTGGGGTGGGGTGGCGGTGGCGGGCACAACATACCCAATCCAATCATCCTCGTAGTTGTATCGGATATATACGAATCGGACTCCGGTGAAGTGTGCTAATAATCACTCCTCTATTTAACGACGCAAAACTTTTTGACTATTGGCATTTATCCCCCTTCCATACTTGCTTTAAATCCATCTGCCTCAGCAGAGGTAACCAGCCGGGATAAAAGTACGGTTGCTGAGGAGACTGAAAATTATCTTCGAATTTTACATATTTTGGTAAATTGTATGCTTTGCTTCCTACATTGTAAGCCATCACGCATTAGATCGCTCTTCCTAGTACATGTCCATTGCTGATAGGGTTTTGTCGATGGACATCGGTCCTTAGTTCTTGTTTCGTTTGCGAATTCTCCCCACTCATCAGTTACACCAATCAACGGGATTTCCTTTATGTTTTCTGCTTGAATGCCTGAGCCTACTCGCTGCTTCTCAACTGCTGTCGACTCTTACCTCTGCTTACAACGTCTCCACTTGACCACTTGTATCTCCGTTGCGTTGCCTACCGCGATGGTATCGCTGTCGAGTCCCCAACTTGGTTCTGCCGTTGCTTACTTAGGCACCACTTTTCCTTGACCAGTTTCTGCCCCTACAGTCGGACCCGATGAGCCACCAGTTACCAGTAATTGCTTTTCTGGTGACACGCCATTTATCAGAACGCCAGGAAAACAGGTCAGTGCACTACAATTGGCCATCCTCACTCGCGGTACACTGTTTCCGCATTCTGCGCTGATGTTTCGTTGCGACGCAACCATGGTTTGTCCGACAGCTTCGATTAAATACAAACCAATGGCTTTGAATCTCCATCTGTCTGACTCGTTCATACCCATGCAGTTGGCAACTAACACACATCCGGCATCTAAACCAAAGGCGGTATCGTCTCCAACGTTCAGCCGACCATCCATATCAGCTGGCTTCCACAAGTGTTCCATGACATGACACTTGTGCTTCGACCCAGCAGGCCGCAATTTTTTCTATCTTCTCCACTCTTCTTGGTGACTGCATATCTTAGACATTACTTATCCACCGACCAGATGTGCGAGATTGCCTGTTATCGTTTCCTAGCCGAAGTACCTGCCTGAAGTGTGTCTGCTGCTGAATTATCTTCCGGACAAGATTACAGATGATTCTGGACAGTGAAAACCATGTTAGCTTCGCCTCCAAGCCAGTTGTTTGTAAGCACACGGTGCCGGTACTGAATATTTGCATGCGATATCTGGATTTCACGCCAGATTCCCCATTGTCCCCTCCTATTACGCTTGGTTAGTGTGGTAATCTATCACAATCTACTGTTGTATGACGGCACGACACCAGTACCGTGTGACTTAGTGCTTTAGATGTTGCTTGTGATGATAATAACCACTAGCACTTTCAGGTTGCACGAAAACCACTTGCTCAGCCTTTGCTGCCTAGCCTAACTGTTTTGCATCTGCATAATCGCTCGTACTGTGTGTCTCAATCGAGCACTCTATTCTGCCTTCTCCATGTTCCCATCCACGAATCATCTCAACGTAACAGTGTGCATTTCTGTTCTGTGTGTCACTTTGAATAGTGTTTCAGCACAACTATTAGCAATCAAATGCACGGAAAGTTCTCAGCACTTACCGACGCATCTAGACGTTAAATAAATAAATACATCAATTTTTTATTCTCGACAACGCAAAGCACGCCTGTACAGGCATGCTCATGATTACAGTGTAGTATATGGTCGGGAAATGTACAAAAATATGACGTGTTTTCCATAACATTGGACGTGTATATCTGAGTATATATATATATATGTATATATATATAGTGCCCCATGCTGAGGCTGATGTTGCACTCATAATGCTAAACCAACTTACACTTAAACTAGGTCTTTTTAATGTGGATAAAATTCATTACATGTTATTTGGTTTGTTTTGCGTACTTGATAATCTTCTCCTAACTTGCACACGTCGTTCATGCAAATTGTGATAAACTTGTGTAATTTTATCGCGTGGTAATTTTTTAAATAACTTTCGGACATTTTGTACTTATCACGGATTCACTTATAACCAATTTCTTCTATATGCTCATTTAGCGAGTATTTATGTCGTCATATGCGTTTACTTTATTCGACATCGGCATTTCGAATGATTGGCTGTTGTCTGACATCCCAAGTGTGGCTGCGCTTGATGTGCATGTTGACAAGGTGCCTACCTGTGTATTACCTACTACTTCGTCCATACTGGCTCCAGGAGACAGTTGGTCGTTGCTGGAGGGGACGGGGTGCACGGTCTTTGTGGTCGTGCTAGGCTCGAAGAGTGGTTCCATGCACTCAGTGTGGAGCGGACTACGGTCCAGCCACCGCCTTGTGTGTGATTGATTCCCCAAATCCAACGTGTTTGTGTTTGCCTGTGAAAGAGTGTGGGCCCGCTCCGTTGATGAAACGTGGCTCCCATCCACATGCCTTCCGGTCTTATTCCTTCGGGTTTACACTGGGTATGGGGTGTGTGGTTTGAGCTGTGGGTGGTGCAGCGCAAGCCACCCATGGTCCCTCAATAGGCACAGGCGTCCTGTGGCAAGCCACAGTGACAGGCAGATCCGAAACCGGATGACGCCAACCGTATAGTTATGTTGCCTGGGTTTGTATATGTGCTGCTGAATTTTTGACTGTGTGATTGCGTCACCAATGTGAGAAGAGATTGTTGTTGTCCGTGGAATGGATATGTTTATCCGAATAGGCAAGAGGCAGTGACTTTAGTTTGTGGCGAGTCACAACTGTCACATCGCAGTGTTGTCACACAGACATGTTTGGCTTTTTATAGAGAGAACCCTTGCCAGCTGAAAACGCACCACGTCCTAGGACACTTCCGCCGAACTATTTGCTGGATCGTGGTCAGCCCGAACTGCCCAGCTGGCACCACATGGAGGTTTTCCCGTAGCATGGATGAGCTCGAATGTTTTTATGGGCACGACTACAAAGTGTGGGAGATTTGTACAGTTACGGTGTGTCCTCCAAATTGCATTCACGTTGCTCCAGATATTTTTTTGGACCTACCTGGTAGCTGTCCGAATGCTTTCACGAACTCTCCTGATCCGTGAACCAGACGAAATGGCCTACTCTTTTACAGCATATTGCATGAGATCACAAGGAATTGCAATGAAAACAGCGAATACCGCAGTCCAACACTTATGTCGGCATTTAGAGCATGGGGTCTACATCATCATCTCACCATCTTCCTCAGATCAAACGACGCACATACCTCGATGGTGTTCGGCTGCGTGTGTTTTTTGGACTGCTTTCGATCGGAAACAGTCACCATTCAAACGCTACTGAATAGGCTTACGCACAGTTGCGCGCATTTTGAACGCTTCTCAAACTTGTATTGTGAAGTACTCTTACTGAATTGGAGGTGTTAGCGCCGCCCCGTTTGCTCTGGTGGGGACGAAATAAGAAGACCAATGACCAGTCAGGACCGAGGGTTGTTTTGCATGAGAGCATAGCTGAATAAATTGGTTAAAGGCAGCTACAAAAACATCGGAGATGCTAATTAATATCAATTATCACAACTCAAGACGATTCGAGTTCAGGGTTCAACTTGCTGCTGACCCCACATAGATTTGCGTTTGACCTCTGCTTGAGTTCAATCTCCAAATGTAGATCGATCCAATCTTGCGCCACGGCTCTCGGCTTGAATGCTGGCTGTAGGCTAGTTCCCCGTAACACTTTCCTCGCGTAAATTGACGTATGACTTCCATCTTGTGTCCAGCTACATTCTGATGACAGGTCTCCGTACCCGATCAGAGCAGCGTTTTGATGACATAATCGGCTCTTCTGGGACAGTCTTGCAAGGTGTATCAGAAGGTTCTGTGTATTGGCTAGCATATCGAAACTGTCCATCAGGATATCCAGCGGTAGCGGTCGACTGCCCTGGTTTATCGATATGCTAGTTGGCCGAAGCTGATTAGCGTGCCTTGTCCAAATGTGGTCCCCCACTTTAACCTTAATTTGGACACATCCAAACCTGCTTTGGATCAGATTTGTCGCTCATCTTGGTTTTCTCGTGTGGTAGTCTCTGACCAAGACTTACTGTCTTGTGTAGAATCGGCCTGCTCATGTCCCATTTCGTTGACTGTAGTAGTCCTCCATTCTCAGCTTTCTTTCTTGCGGGGTCTCCTTATTCGGAAGCAATAACGCGTTCATTGGGCTAAGCTTTTGTCCCATTAACGCTTCTGCGCGTGATAGCTGATTGACGACGTGGGGATTCGGTGTCGTCCTGTACATAAGTAGAAAGGTATCCAATATCTCTCGAGTGGTTCCTTCTCCCCTCAATTTCAGTAAAGCTCGTTTAAAGGGATCCTCTCCGTTAGGTTGTGGTTGGAACGGTGGCGAGCGTACATGCGTAATGCCATTCTGAGTGCAGTACTCAACAAAACTGAAAGAAGTGAACTGTGAACCGTTATCTGTGACTTGCATCTCAGGCACTCAATGTTGCCTGAAAAGCTTCCTCAGTACGTTGATCGCTGCGCTACTGGTCACATACTCCAGGCACAAACGCGCCACATGTTCTCGGAGTTTGCAAGCGAACCAAACGGAACTATTTTACCAGCTTGGTTTTGCCGTGTACGCATGTGAGCTGTACTTGGCTAACGGCACCAGCATGCATTCGCCTAGATATATCGTTGACAAAACGTGTGAGAACTGTTCCCACTGTCTCCGGTATCCGAGAATCTGTGCTTAGAGTAAGGATGCCCGTAACATTTGTTATCCGCTTTGCTTGCTCGCGCGAGCACCGTTTGTACAAACTGGGTTGAGGGTCACGTGAAAGAATTGGAGAACCTTTGTCATTATGCTTCTTTCTCTATCGATAGTAGCTTCTAGTCACTCGTCTTGGGTGCGTTTTCCGGCTCTTGTTAGGCCAACATGTGTAATCGTCGACATCTCCACTCATCTGTGTTATCCGAGACGATGCGACCTGACCAACGGTCAGTGCCAGCATAAAAGCGATTCGGGCACATTCCTCTTATCAGTACTCGTAGATCTTACTCGCTCAACACTTGCTTATTGTACTTTCATCCATGCTAACCATTCATTCATACACTATACATGTTAACTGGAGATGGCAAACACTTCCGCTATTGTGCCGCAATACATGAGAAAAAAATTCCAACAGAGGCACGCCCGCCGAACAGCCACATGTTGTGCCGCCAAAAAGTTATATTATGCATAGGAAATGAGATCATGATTAGTTGGAGAAGACAAGCGGAGGAGGAAGGGTAAAGAAACTCGCAACAACCACCACTGAGATCGGGTCCTAGCCATGTCAACAAGTGTATCCCGCTAAACATGTTTATCGTCTTTCGGAACTCAACCAGAGAGTCGAGAGAGGCTTCAACCGAGGCAGACTTCGAACTAAGCGCCTTCATTCCTCTTGACCAAGTTATCGCTTGGCCTCCCTTTTTCCTTTTCCATCCACATCCCGGTGCGAAAACACTGTACGTCGCCGGAGTCGGGGTGCTAGCATGCGCAATACGTGGCCCAGCCATCGGAACCTGGTTTGTGAAATAACGGTGCCGAGCAATTCACTTCTTCGTGTGCTATAAACAGGGCGTCGTACACGCTCATTGCTCACACGGTGTTCCACCAAATATGAGCCAAAATGCGAAGGCACCGGGGATCGAATGTTACTAGCCTCCTTATGTCTGTTGATGTAATCGGCGAGGTTTCACAACCGTACAGCAGGGTCCAACGTACGGCTGCATTGTACGCTCTATCTTTCAAAGAGGGAGTGATGTCGCCGCGGCACCATAGGTGGCGAAGGTTAGCGAAAGCACTTCGAACTTTTGCTATGCGTAGTTGTTTCCCGCAGGCGACCGGAACCCCTGACGTTGAGATGCTTCTGCCGGTAAGCAAAAGAGTCGCGGAGGGCAACATTAGTCACAGTAGTGAATGACTAATTGAGGGGAGGTCATTTTGTAGCACCTGTTACGTATCTGTTAACACGCCCTCCCCGTTTACAACCCCCCAGTTCTTGGCTCTCCCCCACCGCCTACCCGGAGACGATGCACCTTCGAATGTCGGCCAAGCCGGTGTTGGTATTTCTCTGAGTCCCGGGCTGAACCTGTTCTTGTTGATTTCATCCATTCAGTAGACGGATGTGTACGATCTTACTGGCTGCCTCATTCAGAGCTTCGAAGTCGCGCGGGGCTAATAGGTGTATGTTTTTCATCACTTCCTACGCCCCCACCAACTGTAGCGATAACTCAGTACAAGACGATTTCTATCGTCAGCTGAACGAGCTCCTTCGCCACAGAAGAAGCACAAAAACTGTAGTGGCTGGGGATCTGAACGCTCAAGTTGGAAAATTGCCCACTGATGAGCTACATCTAGGCGGCCAACACGGTGTAGGCTCTCATAATGATAACGGTGAGCGGTTGCTACACCTAGGTGAAGATGCTTGCCTCTTTCTCGCGAACGCTAACTTCAGACACAGCACCTGCAGGAGGGTAACATGGCGCCCACCAGACATGGACTCAAATCGATCACATTACGATCAGTTACTGCTTGGAGCATTGGGCTGAACACTTTACAAGGCAATTTAATCGACTAGAATTGTTAGATTCCTCACCGACCAATGATCGCCCTGCTCCCTTCGCTGTTCCTTTGGATCCGCCCTCTCTGGTTACACTTGTTGATATGGTTAGGAATCTACCTCAATGGCGTTCGTGTTGTGAGTCTCTTGACCCCTCCCTCCCCCACTTTGTTTCCCCCTCCAACCACGATCTCAGTTCGTAGGCGTAATATAACACTTCTTTTTGCGGCATAATAGCCGGCCTATTTGATCTCCTGAACGATATCCGTCAGTTCTTTTTCAATTTCCTTAGCTAGAGCTGACGGTTGAAGTAGACACATAACGGTTGACGATTGTCATCTAGACCATTTAACTCGGTGCTCAACGTGCAAATATCTAAGAAGTACGAACGCAGTTGCCTATTGTGTCAGCGAGTATTCACCATGTGCATTATGTCTGACCCCCCCCCTCTAACATTTCCACTCATCTGCTATAACCACTTCCTGGAGGTTGCATGGTGCGCTCTTGTTTGAAATACTGCCGAGTGCTTCCTTCGTATTGCTTTCTATCGCACATACATTTGAGTTATTTAAGCGTTCTCCCTGTGTTAGGGCTTGATTTGGTTCATTTTTGACTCGTTACCATTCAGTTCTTTTTGATTTCCCTTTATTACTGGCACATTGGTATTTATTACTGACCAATCACATACACTTGCACGCAACGGTTAGAAATTCGTTGTTGCTTTTGCAGTACTCGTCGTGTGTTTGGATTGCGGCACATGGTCACAAGTTGGGCCACGATTTAGTTTGAAGTAACAGCCTTCGGCCCATACACCCATGTTTCCACTCCTGGCTCCGTCTATTTTTGACGACTCCAGACGAGGGTGAAACCGGTTGTTTTACGCAGTGTTTACTCCAGCTGCAATCTTGGTTATAGCAATGGCCAAGGTTTACTTAAGCGCAAATTCTGCTTGAACTTATGATTGTGTTTCGTGATCCATCCACACAGTGGATCTTCCAAAATCTGACGACGAACTTACATTGTTCTCATCGTTAACGCTACTGATCCCATCTTTTGGTCGTTTTACCTCCCTTAACGGTCTGCCTGCTGTGTACTGAGCTGTCATGTCAACTTGCTCCGTACTCTGCCTTTCTGTGGTGTTGATGCTTGGGTGTTCTCTTTTTTTGATTCCGTTGCTGACAAGTGCCCAATGACCACATTGCCTGTTTTTACGCTACTCCATCCAGCGTTTTCATTCCTCTCACTTTGTGTGTGTGTGCGTGTATTTACCACTTCTGCATGCACTGTCACTCCGTTTCCGGGACCCTCCTCACCACTCCACAACGCCCTAAACATGCTACCATTGAACTAGCCACAATAATGATCTTTTCTGCTCACCATGTATGTTATCCACGCGCGCGCTCCCTCGCGCACAACGTTTGTAACGACGACGGCCACTTATATCCTTTCAATGGAACATTGAAATCGCATATCCCAATCTCTGCCATCCTTGTGTGCACCCCCTCACCGATCGTTGCCTCTTGACAACCTTACTGCCTTCCCACTTTCCAGCTGATTTCCTCCGCATGTGTTGCGTTTGCATGCACCCATCATCGCGTACTAATTAGATGTATTACCATCCGACTACTATTGCCACCGCTGTCACCCCACCAGCATATATACCTCGGTACGTTGCCCTAACTGATCGCTAGATCCCGTGCCCGATTTGTACACATTCAGCTCTGCTGATTCACCACTTACAGAGGGACACTAGCTGTTCTCTCGAATTTATGGCCTAGAAAAATGACAGATGTCTTATAACCAGTAATGCACAATTTCTGTGACTAGTTTTTCACACAGCGATCTGCTTGCTTTTCGTTACAGTATGCGGCGACATCCATGGACAGTTCTTCGACCTGATGAAACTGTTCGAAGTCGGGGGTCCCCCGGAATCCACTCGATACCTGTTCCTTGGGGACTACGTGGATCGGGGATACTTCAGTCTGGAAGTGAGTTCTTACAACCTAGGCGTTCTGTTTATTTACCCCAAGCTACCTTACAGATTTCTTAGTGCAAAAAGCAGAATTTATCTAGATCTGTATGCTTTATATAGGTATACTGCTTTTAACCTATCAATTGAAGGATCTCCCTTACAGCTGCACTTAGTCTTCTCCGTAGTTTTCTGTGCCCTGGACTTCATACCAACTCTTCTTGCCCACTCTCCAACCGTTACAACGTGTTGCATTGATTCTGCTTAGGGACAGCCTTCATTTGTACCCGTGTTGCTATCTGAGTGCTATCAGCAGCAGCACTTTGTGTTTGACTTTCACGCTGTTTTACCTACATAAAGACGATTATCCTGATAAGGAATGCGGAGATTGAGGGAAGCATCCCATCGGGCACTAACTCCGGTGGATAGGTGGCACACATTGTCAATCTGGCTTCTTGAGTGCAAAGCAGCGTCTGAGACTGCCTTCCAATAATTTTCATTGTGCCGCTTTATAATCAATCAAATCCACAATATAGGGTCTTGTGTATGGCAGGCAATTCCGTTAGGAAACTGTTGCTATCATATTGCATCTCCTTTAACGTGCTGAGCCAGACACATTTGGCCGTGTGGACTACGGCCTGGCAGGACAAATCAAGAAGGTATACAGCGGCTTCACTTCTACCCACCATCCTAATGGTCACATTCCACAAACGGTTTTTTTGGCACATCAGTCGCCGCTTTCCACACCTCATGTTTATGTACATGGAGTTATGGAAAGCCATGGAAGTAGGAAGGTAGGTGTACATTTATCGTAAATGGGATATCGGATCCATGACAAAACAAACCATGGTATTGTCAGATGGCGTGATAATACTACTTGGCTACCCAAATCGAACTAGGGTGTCTACGTGGAGGGCACCAACCCGAGCATTTGGTTAAAGAGCTTACTCGCTGGATGACTGAGCGAAGTTAGGGAATTTCGCTCATTGGGGCTCGTGACTGATTTTTTCAGAACTCCACTTCAGAACTCCTTCCCGCAGTTTCGGAACCAGATCGCTAAATCACAAATTATTCGCCGGAATGAAGCAATTAGCAGTAATTTTACTTTGTAATAGGTCACACCGCCTCATCACATTTTGTTAAACGAGCATTCATGGTTTTTTTACGGGAAAAACATTTGTCAGATGAAAACCCACGACAGGCGAATCATTTCATGCAGCCATTTGCCTTCAGAAATTTTAAGAGAGCAAGAACGAACAGCATTTATGTAGGATAACCTGAATTCAGATTATTTCGTATCTTCTCATTCAACCGCTTACAGACAAATCGTGGAAAGAGTAAAGGAATGCAATTGAAGAAAGGGGTCAATAGGAAAATCAATAAAACACTGAGCGAACCAAGGTCATTGCCTGCGTCTTATCAGGACAAGGCAAGACTGGCCACAAAGTCTACCTGTTTGCAAAGGTTTGGTTCCATTCGTCGGATGACCGAGGCTTCAGCGAAACGAAGCAAGCTCGCGTTGTTTTGTCTGCTGATAACCTTGAATGCGTCACGTGGGTTTTTACACAAAGTGCAATCGAACAGATGCTGAGCGATGGAGCTGGCAGGGAGTTTAGGTCCACTATTTGCGAGGGCGATTCATTTGTTGGAACAGGATATACCTAAACCACCCAGCTGGCACTACGAAGAATTAGTTCGGAAGCCACTCCTCTGTTTCAGTGTCGCAAAAGCCGCACCCGATCTAGCTGAACTACCGTGCTACTCACAGATTTGTTGGAAAAGGCCTGACTTGCTGTCCGTTCACCATGCCACACTTCTTTCCCAGTGAAGGTTTGCGGTAACAAGTTGTCTCTACCGCGCTGGTTAGAGCTGGAAGAGTGCACGTTACTTCTTCTCTTCGATACCTCATTCGAAGTTGGTGCCCCCTCGCAACGAGTGCTAACAGCAACATCCGGATGATTTTTACTCGATCGGTGGCGACTTGTAGAGGTAGTCGTGGCTTCGAGATACAGCCATGTTCTCTGCACATTCATAACGTGCATGACAGCGGAGGATGAGCCGCGCTGTGCGGCACAGTAGCTGAGGTGATTCCTATCTCCAGGTAACGTGTATAGAAAAAAATGAGCTGCGCTATATCGCAGTTTGAAATCAGTCATGGAAGTCTGACGCTGTCACTCATAGCTTAGTGGTATAATCCGCTGTCCCACAAGAGTAAGACCATAGTTTCAAACCCGGGGATGCGCGCTATGGACAAAACAGTCGTCTAACGCTTTCCAGGATATGTAGTGGCTGTCTGGCTAAATCCATCTACCAGGAATCTCCTCAAAAACACAACAGTTTCCTTTGCTACTCGCTAACGCTCTGCTTGTTACACGGTTCGCATTGAGCAACCCACCGTTCATTCGTTGATTAGAGCTGACCTGGTCTTATCATGCATCGAATGCACAGAATGAAATGACAATGAGACACGTATCAAAGGGGCAACGGATAGGACGCCACCTCACTTCACATGCGAGATGACCTCGAACTCAATCAATGTTCCTCACTACAGGTACACGTTAACTTTTAATACACTTGTGTGGTATCGCCATTCTCCCGTTCTAACATGAGAACGTTTTCCGACGCACCGTGACACTGCTTCCAAGGAGCTAGGGGGTACGCACATGCGCCACGCCGCATTATTCAAACGTTCGTCTAACGTACCATAGCGTCCGGACTTACCTAGAGCCAACCACAGTGTGTTTGGATTCACACTGCATCGTGCGCCATGATAAAATGAACAAATTTCTCGGGCAATGAGTGAGTCCGTCCACTGGATCTCCTTCATAGTTTACGAAACCGTGGACATTGTTGTGTTGTGTTTTCTTTTACTATTTCTGTACCTTGTTTTGAGTTCCATGGTTTCCGATGGTGCAATGTCTATTCATAGACTGTTGCAAATATAAAAAAAATAAAAAATTACGAAGCTCAATCGCCACGTCGATTTGCTGCAGCCTGATCGTAATCCGCTTTGTTCTTTGGCCACGTTGACTTTTGTACGTGAGCAGCGCGATAGTTTAGCATGATCCGAGCAAGCGCCATCCCGACACGGTTTACCAAGTTACGCCATTTGATGGTACATTGCTTACTCTCTTTGGTTCGGGAGGACTCCTTCAGTGTGGAAGCGTTTGCTCTCCCATATGCACGTGCATTCCACCAAGCAGAGCAGCGTATGAACCTTCCCAACCCTCCGGTACTTCCGATGGTGGTTCCTCGTCACCCAAGGCCCATCACACTTACGGAACTGGGACTTCTCTTCGATCAGGGATGTAAGCTGCAGCTGCAGCTGTGTGCATTCTCCCGCCAAACATTTGAGTGTTCGTATTGACTATAGAATGCTGATCGAGGTCCTCGCCATACGTTAATTTGGCTCGCAAATCTGCAGAGGCTCATGAGACTTCTTTTGCTTGCAAATTTCTCCGTTTCCTTCTCCTGCTAAACATATTTATTACTTCAGAGTTCAGGAGTTAAGTGCCAATGTATTGTACGGAATTTCTGCCTCTTATGGGATGCTCTCCCTATTGACCGGATGTAACAATCTTCCCCAATCCCAATGTACTTATGATTGCGCTCTTATCTCCGAAACAGTTGATCCGCTGGCTGTTTGGCACTCCCGAGTGTCTTCTCCATAGCGATGGCGACAATTTCATATAGGTTTTCCAGCTCGCTGACAAAAGCACTGATGCAATGCTCTACAAAGCATCTCTGCACTGTATCACTCTTTATCGTCAGTGTGATAACTGTCTTCCAGTGTCCGTCGGTGTTTTGCACCCGTGCAATTCATGAATGTAACCTATACTCCGCTTTGTTCACTGCTTCCTGTAGCAAACTCATCAGACTCACATCACATGTGTAACTCTCTTCTACTATGGCATAGTTGAACATATTAGCATTTGTGTTTATCCAGTTATGAATGACAGCGAAAGCGAACAAACATTCTTCTGGTTTGGAGCCCAAATACAGCTACTCGTACACCACTGCGACACGCATGGCTAAATCGCCCGTGCGAATTAGTAGGTCCCTCCTCAACAGAGCAATTGTTGGTGCAGTTCATCTTACTGGTCCTTATGCTAGCACTAAGCGAGGCTGTCGACTCAGCAACATGCTCAACGCATGCGTTAAGTGATATCAATCTTGCGCCGAAGCCAGTCGGTCTAACCATCATTCTATCTTTCAGGATATCGCATACCTGATCTCTTCCTCGCATTGTTCTACGCTTGCGTCTCTCGCGCTGTAGGTGAATTGATCTTAGCAACTTTTGCGCTCATTTTTAAGTTATCTACGTCTCGTTGAGCAGATAGGCATTAACAGTACGTGGGTACTCCATATCGGCGCTTCGCTGCCGCGCAACCACCGCAAGTCGCACGTGGGCTACACGGATACTGCAAGGGTCGCCCGGTCCCTACGCAGGCTTGGACTGGCGCCCTCGGATTACAAGGCAGGCTTGTGATCAATATCTTGGAACACATTTGGAACCGATTGGAAAGTCATCATTTCAGAAAACTTGGTAAACGACCGGTTAATGTATTTATGGTGATAGACAACGTTTCGCTTTTGACCCAAAAGCTTCATAAGGCAATGTGAATTATCTTAACATTGCCACTTTATAGCGATCATGGCTAAACTACATACAAAGACGAATCAATTTGCGGTTCATCAATGAATGATTACAGCGGTCAAAGGTCAATATGTTCGTGGGTACACTGTAGTTTGTTTCAGTCAGGGTCAAGTGGGGGGAAAGAAATTGCCGGTCCGTGGATAGTTACATGTGTGGTTAGCAATCTTAACTGAACCGTTGCAAGGAACTTGGACATTGATAGAACTTGGCTTTAGTACTTCGGAATTCGGTGGAGGGTGGGTCGATAGTTCATTCCGATTTGCGATCCATCAACCGATGCTTATCAAGATGGCCGGAGTAAGACTGGACGCCAGGCACCAGACAGTCCTACTCCGTCTATTCTATTCACGCAGTTGTTAGCC